GGCTTGAGGTGGGAGCAGGGGATAGGTGGGAGGAAGGACAGGTTAGGAAGGCGGGGACAAGCTGGGCTGGTTTTTAGGATGCGGTAGGGGGAAGGGGAGATTTTGAAGCTTGTGAAGTCCACATTGATACCACTGGGTTGCAGGGTTCCCAAGCGGAATATGAGGTGCTGTTCCTGCAACCTTCGGGTGGCATCATTGTGGCACTGCAGGAGGCCCATGATGGGAGTCCTCCCAGTCGCAAACCATTTCAACTCCCCCTCCCATTCCTCAGACGACACCTCCAAGTCGTGAACCATTTCAACTCCCCCTCCCATTCCTCAGACGACACCTCCCAGTTGCGAACCATTTCAATTCCCCCTCCCATTCCTCAGACGACATGTCCATCCTGGGCCTCCTGCAGTGCCACAACGATGCCACCCGAAGGTTGCAGGAACAGCACCTCATATTCCGCTTGGGAACCCTGCAGCCCAATGGTATCGATGTGGACTTCACAAGCTTCGAAATCTCCCCTCCCCCTACCGCATCCCAAAACCAGCCCAGCTTGTCCCTGCCTCCCTAACCTGTCCTTCCTCCCACCTATCCCCTCCTTCCACTTCAAGCCCCACCCCCGTCTCCTACCTACTAATCTCATCCTGCCCCCTTGACCTGTCCGTCCTCCCTGGACTGACCTATCTCCTCCCTACCTGCCCACCCACACTCACTTTTACTGGCTCCATCCCCGCCTCTTTGACCTGTCTGTCTCCTCTCCAACTATCTTCTCCTCTATCCATCTTCTGTCCGCCTCCCCCTATTTATTTCAGAACCCCCTTCCCCTCCCCCATTTCTGAAGAAGGGTCTAGCCGAAACGTCAGCCTTCCTGCTCCCCTGATGCTGCTTGGCCTGCTGTGTTCATCTAGCTCTACACCTTGTTATCTCAGATTCTCCAGCATCTGCAGTTCCTACTACCCCTCTCAATCTTCTCTCCTCCAAAGAAAACAAACTGAGTTTACCCAGCCTTTCTTCATAGCTAAAGTGCTCCACACAAGGCAACATCCTGGTGACTCTCCTCTACACCCCGTCTAATGCAATCACATCTTCCCTGTAGTGTGATGACCAGAATTGCATGTACTACTTCCAGCTCTTGCCATTCAAAGTTTTGTACAACCCCAACATAATCTCCCTGCTCTTATAATCTGTGCCTCAACCAATAATGTCAAGTATTCTGTACGCCTTTTTAACTACCCTATTAACCTGTCCTGCTGCCTTCAGAGATCTGTGGACAAGTATCCCAAAATCGCCCTGTTCTTCTGGACTTCATAGTGCCCTGCCATGGAATGAGTTTACTCTGGAGAATCATTTCCTTTGTATTTATAGATGCAAAAACATGCCTAAATTTTAAATTTCATGTTATAAGACATGGGCCCCTCTGAAACTTGCTGTTAGAATCCTTATTAAATGATGCGCTTTTTGCTGAAAGTGTTTGAATTCACTTCCAAGCAACTCCTACAGCATCACTGTTGATGTTTCAATTTAATAGTGCAGGAATGAAAGAGCAGGAACAATATTCAACTGGATCATAACAATGTGATTTGTTACATAAAATATTACAAGTGCCATATGTCAATTCTATGGATAAAAATAAAATTAAAACTAGTACCTGGTCAAAAATCAGTTTCTGAGCTGAAACACACAGATTAATTTTTTCCTGCATTGCAGCTTCTTTTGAGTTACACAACGTTTCTGACTTTCTTAAATCACTGAGCTGCAGAAAAGCTTGAGCAAGAATCATTTGGGCCCTAGGTGAAAGAAACTGTCTTGCACTCAGTAGATTTATTATTTCCTGTTAATGGAGTAAAACACAAAAAATGCAAATTTTAAAAACAAATATAAAACAATATTAAATGTAAAACAGGACAGAGCAAAATTTTAAAAATGTCACAGCTCTTGGATAAAAATGAATGCATTTCCATTTCTGACTATGTTTCAATGGTCAGTGCTTCAGAATGTGAGGGGCTGGGCACACAATGGAAATCCTAGAGCAGAGGTCAGTTTTTTAATATGTAACCCATGCAATTTTCTATCCATTAAAATTCAATATAATATTGTGAACTTATAAATATTGCTTCTATACCAATATCGTATAATCTGAGGGTGACCTCCTGTCCTCCCATAATACAATTTGAAACAGAAGGTATTAGTCATAAAATTTCAAGGTGGTTGGAAGTACTTTGTAATTGACTTCTGAGGCACATTAACGTCTGGTATGAATCACTACAGCCAATATTTAAGAATGTCAGGCGATCTAAATCGGGTCAAAGTAGATAAAAGCTTGGGAAGCACTGCTCTCTGGTAAGCAGTATATAGAGGGTCCTACTCGGAAAGGGACAAAATGCGACTCACTCTTGGGAGATAGGCAAGACAGGTGACTGAGGTGACAGTGGGGAGCATTTTGGGACCAATGACCATAGTTCTACTAATTTTAAAATAGTTATGGAGTGGGACAAAACTCGTCCACAAGTTCTAAACTGGGGCAAGGCGAATTTTGATGGAATTAGATGGGAGATTGCAGGGGTTGATTGGAGTAGTTTGTTTGCAGGCAAAAGGACGTCCGGCAAGTGGGAGGCCTTTAAAAGTGTGATAGCTAGAGTTCAAGGTCTATATGTACCTGTGAGGGTGAAGGGAAAGGTTGGCAGGAGTACAGAACCCTGGATGTCAAGAGATATTTGAGGCTTTAACCAGAAAAAAGGAGGCATGGCGACTGGGATTAAGGGAATTCTTAGAGGTATATAGGGGATACAGGAGTTTACTGAAGAAGGAAATCAGAAAGGCGAAAAGGGGACACGAGATAGCTTTGGCTGAGATTAGGGTGAATCCAAAGAGATTCTTTAAGTACGTTACAGGAAAAAGAATAATTAGAGAGTGAATGGGACCCCTTAAGGACCAAAGTGGACATGTATCTGTGGAACCACAAGAGATGGGCGAGGTCCTCAGTGAATATTTCTCCTTTGTGTTTACTGTGGAGAAAGACACGAAGACTTGGGAACTTGGGGAAGTTAGTGGCAAAACTTGGGAACAGTCCATAATCACAGTACAGTAGCTGTGGGAAGTATTAGAATGTATGAAGGTGGATAAATCTCCTGGTCCTGACCAGATATATCCAGGAACCCCGCAAGAGACTAGAGAGGAAATTGCAGGGGCCCTGGCTGATATATTTGCATCATCATTAGCCACGGGTGAGGTCCTGGAAAACTGGAGGGTAGTGTGCCCTTATTCATGAAGGGCTGCAAAGAAAAACCTGGGAATTATACTCCAGTAAGCCTATTACCTGTGGTAGGTAAGTTACTTGAGAAGATTCTGAGGGATAAGATTTATATGCATTTGGAAAGACAGAGTTTGATTAGGAATAGTCAGCATGGCATCGTGTGTGAGAAATCATGCCTCACAAATTTGTTAGAGTGCTTTCATGAAGTGACCAGGAAGGTTGATGAGGGCAGGGTGGTAGACATAGTCTACATGGATTTCAGTAAGGCCTTTGATAAGGTTCCACATGGTAGGCTGCTCTGGAAGGTTAAATCACATGGAATACAGGGACAGCTGGCAAATTGGTTACACAATTGGCTTGATGGTAGGAAGCAGTGAGTAGTAGTGGAAGGATGCTTGTCGAATTGGAGGCTGTGACTAGTGGTGTGCGTCAGGGGTTGGTGCTGGGCCCATTGCTGTTCGTTATCTATATCAATGATTTGGATTAGAATGTACACGGCATGATTAGTAAATTCATGGACTGTGAGGAAGGTTATCAGAAATTGCAGCAGGATCTTGATCAGTTAGGGAAGTGGGCCAAGAAATGACAAAAGACTTTCAATATAGATAAGTGTGAGATGTGTATTTTGGAAAGTCAAATCAAGGTAGGAGTTTCAACGATGAGTGGTAGAGCCTTAAGAAGTGTAGTGGTTCAGAAGGACCTTGGAGTTCAGGTGCACGGTTCTCTGAAAGTGGAGTCACAGGTAGACAGGGCAGTGAAGAAGGCTTTTGGCTTCATCAGTTAGGGCATTGAGTATAGAAGTTGAGTAGTTATGTTGCAGTTGTACAGGACGTAGGTGAGGCCACACTTGGAGTATTGTGTTCAGTTTTGGTCACCTTGCTACAGGAAGGATGTTAAGCTGAAGAGAGTGCAGAAGAAATTTACAAGGATGTTTCCAGGACTCAAGGGACTGAGCTATAGGGAGAGATTGGACAAGCGAGAACATTTTTCTTCAGAGAGTATAAGACTGAGGGGGGATCTTATAGAAGTGTATAAGATCAGGAGAGGCATGGATAGGGTGAATGCACTCAGTCTTTTGTCCAGAGTTGGGGAATCAAGGACTAGTGGGCATCAGTTTAAGGTAAGAGGGGAAAGAATACACAGGAACCTGAGGGGTAACTTTTTTTACGTAGAGAGTGGGTACGCATATGGAATGAGCTGCCAGCGGAATTGGTTGGGGCTGGTACATTAACAGCAATTAAAAGGCATTTAGACGAATACATGGACAGGAAGGGTTTAGAAGGATATGGGCCAAGTGCAGGGAAATGTGGTCGGAATGGACCAGTTTAAGCCGGAGGGCCTGTCTTATGCTGTAAGACTCTATGACTCCAAGTGTTTCCTTCGCTAGGTAAGGAGGCTGCAGCTGCACACAATATTCCAGATGCAGTCCCATCAAAGCTGTATATAACTGGATTAAGCCATTTTTGCTTCTGCACTGAAATTCCCTTCGCCTTCCTAATTGATTGCTGCACCTGCATACTAGCTTTTAGTGACTAATCAACAAAGACAGCTAAATCCCTTTGGACCACCACATTCTCATGCTGTAACACTTAAGAAATATTCTGCCTTTCAGTTTCTTCTATCAAATTAGATGACTTCACATTTATAGGAAGGTGAAGACCTAACTTTCTGGGGACCCAAGTTTGAATCCTGCCATGACATCTGGAATTAAGAGTCTAATGATAGCCATGAATCCATTGTCAATTGTCAGAAAAAAACTCATCTCATTCACTAGTATCCTATAGGGAAGGAAACTGCCATCCTTACCTGCTCTGGCCTACAGATGATTCCAGACCCACGGCAATGCAAATGACTCTCAACTGCCCTCTGGGCAATTAGGAATAAGCAATAAATGCTGGCCTGGCCAGCGATGCCCTCATCCCATGAATGATTTTTTTAAAAAATTATTCACATATTCCTTCTGTCATGTTCTTACCTGTTCACTTATGCAGTCCAAGTTCACTTTGAGGCTTCCTTGCTCTCAAATTAAATTCCCACCAAGTTTTGTCATCCAAAAATTTGGAAATAATCCAGTTGATGAGCACATCCAAATTATTTGTACAAATTGCAAACAGTTGGGACCCAAAGACTGATTCTTGAGGTACCACACCAGTAACAGCCTTCCATCCTGAGAATGACTCATTTATTCTTACTCTCTGCTTTCTGTCTATTGACCAATTCGCAATCCATACTAGTATATGACACACAGTCCCACATGCTCAAACATTTTTTACTAGCCTCCTGTGTTGGACCTTATCAAAAGGCTTCTTAAAAATCCAAATAAATCAAATGCACCTGTCTTCCTATATCTATGCTACAAGCTACACCCTCATAAAATTCCAAAAGATCTGTCGAATATGATTTCCCCTTCATAAATCCATGATTATGCTGCCAAAGTGTGTCATTAGTTTCAAGTTATTTCCAGTTGGAAATACTATGGCGACAAGATCAAGTCAGAAGCTAAGAATTCTGTGACAAGGAACTGTCTCCCCACAGTCTGCTTACCATCTACAAGACACTAGTCAGGAGTGTGATGAAATACTCTCCACTTGCTTGGATGGGTGCAGCTCCAACAACACTCAAGAAGATTGACACCATCCAGGACAAAGCAACCTGCTTAATTGGCAACCCATCGACCATCTTCAGCATTCATTCCCTCTACTGGTGGTGCACAATAGCAGCAATGTATATCATCTACAACACACACTGCAATAACTCATCAAGGATCCTTTGAAAACACTTTCAAAATGGCAGTGTTTGCTGACTCTGGAATTGCAGAGCAACTTATTTGGAAGCAGTTGGACCAAGGAAGGGAATAGGTGGTCAGGGGGAGGTGAGTGGGAAGGAAACAAGCCAGGCATGGGATGTAGGGGAAGAATGGGAGAAACAGTGGTTGGGGTGGGGCGGGGGGTGTGTGGTGGTGGAGGCAGTGGGGAGATCAGGCAGGGGGATAATCACAAAAATAAAAACCAGGAAATATACCTAGTACCAGCAAAGTAGCAACAGGAAATTGCCAGAGCATAAGTGCTGGAGATTTATCAGCAGCTTCTCAACAGGAGACCATGACAGTTAGGGGCTATGGTCCCAAGTCTAAGAGGGGTGGGGACAGGTAACCAGGGAGGTAGAACTGAAGGGATCCCAGAGGGACCCATGATGGAGGAGCTGTTTTTTATTAGAGTACTTCAGATGGGTCAGTTTTTGTCCAATGTGTGCAGGAGGGTTTCCTGACACAGTATGTAGATAGGCCAACAAGAGGCGAGGCCACATTGGATTTGGTACTGGGTAATGAACCAGGCCAGGTGTTAGATTTGGAGGTAGGAGAGCACTTTGGTGATAGTGACCACAATTCGGTTACGTTTACTTTAGCGATGGAAAGGGATCGGTATATAAAGCAGGGCAAGAGTTATAGCTGGGGGAAAGGCAATTATGAGGCGATGAGGCAAGATTTAGGATGCATAGGATGGAGAAGGAAACTGCAGGGGCTGGGCACAATTGAAATGTGGAGCTTGTTCAAGGAACAGCGTGTCCTTGAGAAGTAT